GAAAGAAAGAAAGAAAGAAAGAAAGAAAGAAAGAAAGAAAGAAAGAAAGAAAGAAAGAAAGAAAGAAAGAAAGAAAGGATGACGACCAGCAGCAAGTCAGAACAATCGAAAGGAACAATCTCCTTGACTGCAACCAAATTTTGTCAGCTGTTACATGAAGCAAAAAGACATCAGAGAAATCTGCAGGTAGGAGGTCAAAAAAGTCAAGATGTGGCTGCATCCACACAATCGAAGCTCTGACCTTTTTTGCATGCAACACGTAAAAAAAGAACAGAGTTTTGATCACATGGGTGCGGCCACCATTTTGACCTTTTTGACCTGCCCTGGAGATATCCCTATAATCTGACTTCGTAGCATTCTGTTCCTTTTTTAAAAAAACTTCATAGCAGATTGTCACAGTTTTTTATTTGATTATGTCCTCACATTGGAGTCAACTCTTAGCAAACACAGACAGATTTTCTCCAGGAAGATCTGTCCCTAACCTGGTCTTTCAGCTCTTCCAACGGTGCACCCATTGTTGTCCGTCCGCTGCTGGCCACTCTCTTTTTCCTTTCCTTCCATCTTTCTCACCATTAGAGCCTTCTCCAGAGACCTTGGTCTTTGCATTGATTGATTGATTATGGGTGCTGACCCTTAGTGATCACATAGACCTCCTCCAGGATGATGTCCCCAGACTGATCCTTCAGGTCTTCCAACGGTACACCCATCGCCCCTATAATCGAGACTTGCTGCTGGTCGTCATCTTCCTTCCTTCCTTCCTTCCTTCCTTCCCTTTTTCTTTTTCTTTTTCTTTTTCTTTTTCTTTTTCTTTTTCTTTTTCTTTTTCTTTCCACCTTTCCCAGCATTATGGACCTTTCCAGAGAGCTGGGTCTGCATACAATTTAATTTGCCCTGCTCTCTTTCCAGCAAGGTCCAGCAACTCCTTCCTAAGACTGTGCGTGTTGAAGAGAGAACTTAAAGTAACATTCCACCAACACTTGTCTTCCAGTTTCTCTCTCAAAATGGTCTTGAAAAAGCAGGTTTTGTTTTTCGATTAGATTCGCTGGGGGCCTGAGAATGTCTTTCGAATTCATTTTGGTGTTCTTAAGCTTGATTTATGTGTTGATAATATACCAGGGCTTCTGCCAGGCTGCTGTTTTCTGGCATTTGTCCACCCTCTGCAACCTCCTTGGCTGCACACACTTCTGAATCGAACCCCCCTAGGAGGAATTCTTCTTGACATATCTCCTTGGAACTGAATGGAAATGTGAGAAGCTAGAGAGGTGGCAAACAGCTGGCCAGATGTTTGTGCAGTGACAGACAGGATGGTCACAGACATCTCAACCACACAGAACACAGCTCTCCAATTCAGCAAAACTGCACCAAAATCCTCTTTTGCTTTGAAAGACATTCCAAAACAAATTACCTTTCATCAAATTAACTGAAGGCAGGTTTAAAACTTACTAATCTTGGCTGCGTAGAAAAGCCATTCTCAAAGCCAACCGGTGCCTTTTAAAAGAATAATTAACAAAGGCTGGGTTGGTGCAACCTATTGAAGTCTAAACCCAGGTGAACAAAAGTCAGTTGCGCATTAACAAGTTTTCTCCTGAGAAATCATAGTATGGCTTTCTTGACCTTGGCAACTTTAAGATGTGTGGACTTCAACTCCCACACATTTTAAAGTTGCCAAGGTTGAGAACACTGGGCTACACTAATGGCTGGGTTCCCACAACACTGAAGCACAAACTAGCCCAGCCCAGCCAAGCCAGTGAGAGCTTCAGTCAGAAGGTGGACTGGTGGTCTTACCGTGGTCAGAAAGTCATCCAGGATTAAACATATGACTAATCTTAAATCAGCTGGCCGGTTCTAGCACAGGAGAATGAATGGTTGGGTGTCCTCCAGAGGATAACAGGACACCAGTGTCCTTCATTCCCAGAATAATGGGAGCTGTAGTCCCAAAGAACTGGTGCCATGTTAAGGAAGGTTGAAATGAGGGGCGATGCTCCTTTTCCTGTCTCCAGGTCCTCTTGTTGGCCACGTTGGGGATGGCAACTTTCACTGCCTGCTGATTCTTGATCCTGAAGATGTTGAAGAAAAGAAGAGAGTGGCTGAGTTTGCCAAACGTCTGGGCAGGTAGGCTGGCGGGGCGGGGTGGGAGACGCTTTCTATCTCGCATTTTGGGGGGAGCATGAAAGAGCCCTTTCACATGCAGCAAAGGTGGGCAGTGGTCTTGTGGCCGGGGATAACCCTGACTACTTCTTTTAACCTCCCGTGGGTAGAGTTATGACATCCCCAATGTTCAGAAGCAGGTTTTGGTCCACTTTGGCATGAGTAGACAAGGAATTTAGAAATGACCTTGATATGAAAGAACCGTTGCGGTGGGGTGGGGTGGGGTGGGGTGGGGAACGCTTTGAGAAAAGATTCCCCAGTCTGGAGAAAGAGAACAGTGAGAAAGAAACTCACCTTGATTTTGTTTAATACAAGATGGGTTAGAGAGAAACCTTGTCAAGCTTTCAAGATTCTGTTATCCTACCTTGTGTAAAGGAGCATTCCTGGAATCTACTTGACCTGGCCTACCTTGAAGGGGTAGCATTGGTTTTGAAAGGTGCTCCCGGTTTCTCTCTTAGATGAACAAAGTTCAGGTGGGTTATTCTGAGGTTCTCTCTCACTCTCTCCTTTGTCTTGGGACTGAGTCTTTTCTCAAAGTGCCCCCTTAACGGCTTGCTCATGTTTTCCCTGAGCCCTGTTCAATATTCCTTTACCCCTTGGCTGAAGATATGAGGGATAATGTGCCTTCTGGACAAAGAATAGCCTCCTAAGAGAACAGATAAATTCAAGAATAAGCAAACAAACACGAACAAAGACAGACGAAAAAAGTGCCACGTTCCTCTACTTCTCTCTGCCTTGGAAGTGAGATTTGGGACTTGCCTTTTGATCTCTTTTGCCCCTTTTCCCCAGGCGAGCCTTGGCAGCGGGTGGCACCTGCACGGGAGAGCATGGCATCGGCCTGGGCAAACGTCAGCTGTTGCGCGAGGAAGTCGGCGAAGTGGCACTTTCCACCATGCGGCAGATCAAGATGGCCCTGGACCCCAAAAACCTCATGAACCCTGGAAAGGTGTTATAACCCTGGGAGAAGCACCCACTTTTGCTTTCTGAGGGGTCTGGAATGATGCGTCTTCTCTCTCCTCTCATCTCCAGCAGTGTCAGAAATGCAGCTGTTAACAAAAGCCAGCTGTTGTGGTGGTTCTCCAGAGATGCCATGCCTACAGCAAAGAACTCAGCCTCGTCTGCTGACTAGGTTCTGTATCATGCTAAACTACAGTATGGTTTAACTCGAGCCTGATGAATAAACCACAGTTGGTTGGGTTCACAGGACATGTTAACTCAAAGCCAAATAAATAACACAATGGCTTAGCAAAACTGAAAACTCTATGAACCTGTGTTTCCCAACCACATCAACTTTTTAAGATGTGTGTACTTCAATTCCCAGTATTCTCCAGCCAGCATGCTGGCTAGGGAGTTCTGGGAATTGAAGTCCACACGCCTTAAAGCTGCTGAGATTGAGAAACACTGCTTGGCTGGCTGGGGAATTCTGGGAGTTGAAGTCCACACATCTTACAGTTGACAAGGTTAGGAAACCCCGGTGTAAGCACTACAGCCATTTGCCAGCTTCCTTTGGATCTTTACCACACTTGAAAGGGTAACCTAGCATTGGTGGTCATGCCCCTGATGAGAAGAGTAAGCATCCAGGACTTGGCAATCAATTGTGTGAATTTATATTAAAATATATACTTAAAATTAGTGCTGTGCATTTGTGTGGGGAGAGCTGAAGCTGTGTTTATTCAGATGATGTAGCAACGCCGAGGTGTTGGCACTTTGAAGCAGGCGGCCCTGTCGGTGGAGGTAAGTTAATGCCACATTGTCTAACCTGGGGATTTCAATTCCCAGAATTCCTCAGCCAGCATGGTCATTACTGAGAATTCTGGGAATTGAAGTTCACACACTGGGAGTTGCCAAAGTTTGGAAACAGTGCTCCAGAGGCATCAGCTGGATCCAGTGTGTTATGCCATTACCACATAAGTTCCACCCCTTTTGTATGTGCGCGAGATGTCGCAGCACACATACAAAAGGTGTGGAATGGCAGGATGCTCTCTTTGTCATTACCTCGCCCCCCCACCCCCTTCCCTGGATGCTTCAGAACTGATCTGATGTATTTCATTTAAACTGGAGGGTGCAAAGCATTCATTTTAAGAACCTTTAATGTCTCTTTTTATTACCTCCCTTGCTAACATTGCCTTGGGAAAAAATCTGGCTTACAACAGAGTTTGGCAGCTACATGCCAAGAGTTTATGTTGTGCGTGCCTGGAAGTAAAATCCCATGCTTTTTCCAGCTTTCTAGTTTATTTTCTCAATTTGGATTCCCTCTTATCTCTTGGGATCTTTCTCTCTTTTTTTTGGCTTTGGCAAGTCTCCAGTGAATTGAAGCAGGATGTGCTTCTATAGTCTAGATTTCTCCTACTGGATTGATTCCACATACAGAATCTTTGATGATCCTGCTATTAAGGCAGATGGGATTATACCAGGCAACCCTAGGCTAGAGCTAGACTTGCACCCATTGCTGCTGTAACTTTGAGTACATCCATCTTGCTGCTGGTTGTCCTCTTGAGAACTCTGGGTTGGTTGGTTCAGTGATCCGTTTGTCTGCTTTCTTGGCTGTCCGTGATATTCTCGGGAGTCTTCCCCAACACCAAAAGCGTCAATACTCTTCCTCTCCTGCTTCTTCAAAGTCCAGCTTTCACTTCCATAGAGTGTCACAGGGAGTACCATGCCTTGCACGATTCTGATCTTTGTAGGTATGGACCCATCACGGCTTTTGAATATCTTTTCCAAAACTTCACAGCTGCTGTACCAAGTACTAGTCTGCGGCGTATTTCTTGACTGCTTGTTCCTTTACTGTTGATGGCTGATCCTAAAAGGCAGAAGCTCTCCACCCTTCAGTATCTTCATTGCCAATTCTAAGGCTGATTGTTCTACCTGTTATTAGTTGCGTCTTTTTTATATTTAATTTTAGTCCCATTTTTTTCACTATGCTCCTTAACTTTTGTTACTAGCGCTTGCAGATCCTTTGCATTTTCAGCTCTCAGGGAGTGTCATCAGCACTGTGCAGATATCAATGTTTCTTCCTCCAACTATGTCAAGAAAAAGCTGTCTTGTGGAATTTCAACCTGTTGGGGACGTAGCCCACTTGCCTGACATTCACAATATTGTAGGCAGGCAGCCAGATAACAGAATATACATCCCCATGAAGGAGAGGTGCTCCTTGTCACATACAGAGACGCCTATCCCAGGCCTTCCCTCTCCTGGAGACTGAAAAAGTTTGATCCTTTTAAATCAAGGGGCAGAACCTGAGAAAAGCTGCGAATTGAGGCCAGGGAAAACAGGACTAACATTGTTCGTCCATTTATGATTCAAGTTTGGAATTTCCCAGAAGTTGGGAAATCCAGATCAGGCAAACAGTGGAACTTTTGCTTCAAAAATGGCTGTTTCGGTAGAAACACGTAACATAGCTAGAAATTGTGCTGGGTTTAATTTCAGTTTTATGTGCTACAGTCTCCTTCTTTTTCTCTCTGTGTGGGCTGGGGAATTGGGTATAATTGCAGTTTTTATCCATCTCTCCAGCTGGCCATGGAGATAGTTTTTATTTTAAAAATCTTGTAACCTGTAGTAATTTAAATCCTGCCCCAATTTCATTACAGATAATTTAAAAAAAAATTATCTCAAACCATTTTCAACTTGTGGCTTAACCAGAGCATTGCTCACCAACACCCACATCTCTTATTTCATCCCCATACATGTCCACTTCAAGGGACTGGCAACATTTCAGAGTTTAAAAAATTAGTTGTAGTAGACACACCAAGTACAAACTTGTCCTGTTACATCCCAAACCCTTAGACAAATAAGAATACCTGGAAATAAAATAACAGTGACTATTTTATTGAGCATTATTGAATACCATATCAAAACACCTTGACTAATAGGGGAAGTTTCCCTTCCCAAGCTTTGATTTTTTTTGTAATTTTTTAAAGTTTCATTTCTTTTTTTTGTTTTTTTCCTATATAAATACAGATACTTTTCCTGCGGATCAAAACCGTCCATAAGAGGTCTTTTCCCCCCGTGGCTCAGCCAGTCTTTGCTTCGTGCTCAAGTGTGGACTGGCTGGGTGGGAGGGTTTGTATGTGGGGGGGGCATCATCTGTGTGTGTTGCTTTAAGAAAAAGCCCAGTTCTGCATTCCACAAAGGGCTGGAAACTCTTCCGGTATCGTAGCAGGACACTTGCGAAGGAGGACAGCCCCTGAAGCCAGCCCGGAGGGGGGTGTTCAAATGGGGGGGAAGAAAGAGCCAGGAGACTTTTGGCAATGGGCGGGAGTGGAGAGGGAAAGAAAAAGGTCCTGGAATTTCTGCTCCTCACCTGCCCAAGGATGCAGTCTTGTAAACATCACCTGGCACGTTGGTTGACACGAAATGGCTGTTTTGTAAACACTTGAAAAGACAAACGTACAACGCCTTCAAAAAACGCAACAGAAAATGCCTGATTCTTCTTATTCTCTTCTTCAGGACTGGGGGGGGGCAGGTGGGGAGAGGGAAAATGGCCTTCCTGCTTCAAGAAAAAAAAGGGAGGGGGAAACCACCACCTTGCCCGTGCAAAAGTGACCTGCGTGTGGCAGGAAGAGTCCTTGAATGGCGCCGACTCTCGTGCTCCGTTTAGCTCGTGGCCAGATCCAGCCCAAACAAACATCATGGCGCTGCTGCGGGGTGGGGGCCTGGCATCCACCAGCTCCCCCCAGGCCCTCTTCTCCCCCCTGCCCAGGCTGGTGGGCGGCTGTCGAGGTATGGCCCTGCAAAGCGGCAGTCGCTCTTTGGGGTCTTCTCTGCCCTTGAAGTCCAGAACTGAACACAAAGTACCCCCGGTGCCCTTGAAGGAGGTCCCAGAGCTGGTTTGGAGAATGGTGGGGGGGGGGGTGAGGAGGATGGATGGTGAGATGACCTGCGGAGAAAAAAAGCAGCATGGGTGCTGAAGAGGCCCCAGAAAAAACATCCCGTGCAAAGCAGCGGGTGGATCTCACATCTAAGCCTTCCAAGGAACAATGCAGAGGATGCTAACCATAAGCATCACTGCTTCTTGCTGGGGTTCCTTGACTTCTCCCCCCCACCTGGAAATTGGCCTTTCCCAAAAAGATCCAGAAAAGGATGAGTTAGAGGTTTTCCTTCGGCACTTAGCTGGCTTCTATGCAAACAGAAAGTTGACAAGGAAGGTCTTTGGACTGGTCCTGCAAGGATCTCCCAGTGGCCAAAGGCAGATCTTGGTAGATCCCAGAAATAGGGAATGGATTTTCAGTCCTGACCATTTCCCACCAGCAGTAAAGTCATCCTTCCCTGAATCAGTGTTTCTCAACCTTAGCAACTTTTAAGATGAGTAGACTTCAGAATTCCCCAGGCAGCCATGCTGGCTGGGGAATTCTGGGAGTTGAAGTCCACACATCTTAAAAGTTGTCAGGGTTAAGAAACACTGCCCTAAATCATCATAGAGGGGGACGCGGTGGTGCAGCGGCTTAATGACGCTGAAAGTTGCCGGCCAGAAATGGTCGACG